GGGGATCAAACTTGGGTCCTTGTGTTTGCAAGGCAGGCGGTGGAACCACTGAGCTAAATCCCAGGCTCAAAACCATTCTTTTTAAATTAACAAGTTGGAATAGGATAAAATGGAAAAATCCATGTTATGTGACCTCAACTGTAAATTTTAACATACGTTCCCTGTCCAAATATAGAGACTAAAAGATTTGCAGAGGACTACCCTCTGGCAAAGACCAAATGCTCCTTTGTATTTGAAAGAAATTATAATTATTATATACACAAAATAACATATGCATTGTGTGCAATCTACACTTTAAAGTCTTTACAGCACCTAAGTAAAAATTAGAAGTCATGATTCTCAGTCCCACTAACTCTTTCAAAATATATTCTTCAACTACTCTTAGTGTATTGCCATTATGCCATGTTAAGGGACTTTCTTTTTTGTTTTCTTCTTTCTTTCTTTCTTTTTCTTTTTCTTTTTCTTTTTTTTTTTGTTTTTTTTTTCTGTTTTGAGGCAGGTCTCACTATCTAGTTCAGGCTGGCCTTGAACTCACTATGTAGCTCAGGCTGGCCTCAAACTCTCTGTGAGCCTCCTGCCTCAGCCTCCCAAGTGCTGGGATTTGAGGTATGTGCCACCATGCCTGGCCTGTTAAAGGACTTTCAAGTGCCCTGCAGGTAAAGATTTGGCTTCTTGTATAGATGTTCCTGTAAAATAATAATGGCAATATAAATACTCTAGCTACTAAGTTTTGTTACCTTTGTGGTGAACACTACATTTATATGTTTATATTATCTGGATTGGGATACTTCAAAGGGATTCAGATCTACAACATAGGGGCCAGATTTAAGTTTTGAGCCCTATAGTAAAAAAAAGTTTAACAGCCTAACGGTCACAAAAACATGAATGTCTTTATTTAGCATATTCCTTCACCATTGTTAGGGTCAATATAAGAGAACAGGGCCAGGAATGTAGCTCAGAGGCACAGCGCCTGCCTGGCAATCTCAAGGCTCTGAGTTCAATAAATAAATAAATAAAATATTAGATTTCTTTGAAAAAACAGGGAAGAGTCTATATACTCTTAAATTCTACTTGTACTTGGGTTACTATTGCTAGACAAATAGAGGTTATGATTGAAAATCAAAGGCTTACACCAAATACTGCCTAATCTTTACTAACTTCTATAGCTTTTTGAGCTACTCTTCATCAATATTCTGTCTTCAATTTTCAGCCCTTGCTTATTGAACATAGTTATACAATGAAGCTTAAGCATCAATGACTTGCTAAGGTTCTTGTCCTTTTTCCCAGGCTATCAAGAGATGATGGTTCATCAAACATCGGCCCACCCTCATTTACATCAGTCAGGATGAGACTCTTCCTCCCTGGCTTCTCCTCAGCCTGAAGCAGTTAGAAGAAGACAGACCCTCGACCCTCATCAAAGTGGGGGGTGGTGAGGTAGGAGAGCAGAAATAAAAACAGGTAGAAGGGAAACAAGAAAAACTGATAACTAAAAATTCGCATATTTAAGGCTTCAACTCCAGGACACAAAGTTCCCAAGATTATTCATATCAGTAGTCCCTAGATTGTTTATGCTTCTTTTCTTTTAGGTCCATCATACCCCAAATCCCTTAAAGCTAATTTAAGTCCATGGATTAGTTTAGTTGATAAAGTAAAGGGCAGAAACTTGATCTTAAAGGGACATAGGAGAGTTCAAAGAATGTTTGGAGGTAAAACATCTTAGGTCATCCATCTGAAAAGTAACTGGTGGGAAAAAAAGAAGTAACTGGTGGGGCTCGTGCCTTTCATCTGTAAAATGGGCTGTTATCTTTTGGTGGGTGGACCATCCTTTTCCTATAAACCAAGACCAAGATGGAACTTCCTCTTGATTCACAAATTCCAGGTTTCCACCGCCAAAAATACATAAATATTCCCAGCTACAAACTGTAGTACATCTCCCTCCCTCCCTCTCTCTCTCTCTCTCTCTCTCTCTCTCTCTCTCTCTCTTTCTCTGAAGGGTACACACTGTATTTCTTTGACTGTGTACTTTTTTTGGTACTGGGGGTCAAACTTGGGACCTTGCACTTGCAAGGCAGGCGGTAGAACCACTGAACTAAATCCCCAGCCCTGACTTTTACATTTCTGCCTGCTAAATCCTTTCCTGCCTCTTAAAAATTTTAATTATTAATAAATAATGAATAGTCATCAAGTGAAATACCTTTGAGACTTTATGAAGGTACTGCCAGGAAGAAGGAGGTGTGACTATTTAGTTTAGTTAGGTATACTAAGTTAAAGAGAAAGGAGCAAGCTAGGCCATTATTATTGGTAAGCCTTGTTTTAAAAACTGAATTACAGAACAGTTCTAAAAGCAGCACCTGCTGGGTGTAGAAATACTGAGACTCCGACTCACTGTAGCCTCTTTCCCTTTCCTGAGTGTTGCACGTGGAAGGGTCAGTGAGAAACCAAACAGCCCTCCTGGCAGTCCTGGAGGACAGCAGAGGACCCAGGGCTGGAGTGGGCGGGGAGGCTGGAGAATTCCAGAGTGTGTGGTCCGCCCTAAGGGACTGACACTTGATTTTGCATCAGGGAGCAAAGAGGCCAATGTGTTGCTCAGATTTTGAGTTTTACAAGTGGTATATTCATATTCATATTTATATTTATAGCTTCAGACCTTTGCAATCCCTATTCCTTTCATAAAAGCAATGGCCTTCCAATCAATTCCATTTGATTTTCGCAATATATCTTTTTAATAGCATATTATTTTGCCAACGATCCTCTCTAAATCTGAATCAAGGAGACTTGTCTCCTTCTTATGTCTTATTCAGACATCCAAATTGTTATTCCCAAGAACATTTATGAAGTGACACATTCATGATAAACTTTTAGCCTTCCTACCAAAGTCTTGATCAAAATCCTTTAGTAACTCCTCCTGAAGTTCCCATGTCCCAACCCAATAGAAAGACCCCCTTGTGATCTGGTCTCCACCTTGCTCTGCAGGCCTATCTGCTGTCGGTCCTTCCCATACACACACTGGGCCTCTCTCACGAAGCCAGTCCCAGTCCTCTATCCTTTCTGGCCTCTGGGCTCCATTAACACTGTTTCCTCAATGGGCATCCTTCCTCTGTACTGGCTACCTGTTGGACTCCCAGTGTCCTTCAAGATTCTGTGCGTCTCTCTGTCCTGTATTCCCTGACATGTCCAAGTACAATTAAGCCCTGGTTTTCCATACTGCCTGAGCATTTCGCCCCCTCTGTATACTAGTACTTATGTCAAGTGTTTGTGTGTGTGTGTGTGTGATACCGGGGATCGAACTCAGGTCCTTGCGCTTGCAGGGCAGGCTCCAGAACCACTGAGCTAAATCCCCAGCCTGTCAAGTATTAACTTTGATGAGAAGTCCAGATAACCTCAGGGAATCTATAAATCCAAAATTTTACCTAGGTTCATTTTCTTCTGGAGAAGGGGTTCAGAATTCACATCAGTGTAGCAAAAGAGTTCATAATTGCTCCCTCAAAAATAAATTGGGAGCTGGGCATGTTGGCACATGCTTATAATCCCAGCACTCAGGAGGCTGAGGCAGTAAGATCACCACATATCTGAGGCCAGTCTGGGCTACATAGTGAGTTCAAAGCCAGCCTGAACTACAAAGAGAGACCCTGTCTCAACCCATTCCCCCCCAAATTAAAAATAATAATAATAATGCTACTGTGCTAAATTATGAGTCCTTAGGAAATAGAGTGAATTCTATTCTTTGAACCTCTACAGTAAGATGTCTGATGTTTACTGAATGAGACTTTTAGTTATCATTTACAGGTAACATTTATTCTAGTCAAGCTATACAGTAAATTTAACCTCCTCTTGTTTTTTTACGTAGACAGGAGGTGAGATTGAGTGAAACTACTCTGGACAAAAGGGAAGTTACAGAAATATCTATAACAAAATACCAGCAGTGGTTTCTAGAAAGAAAGATGGGGTTACAGGTGAGACAGGCTTTCAAATTTTACTTACACTCATCTGTCTTAACCATATTTGTTTGCTTTACAATGAGCTTTTTGTACTTTTGAACTTTAAAAATTATATTTTAAGCTATAGTACTTAAGTGTGCCAGATATCTAGCTTTAAGTCCTAGCTTTGCTATTTTTTTTCTTTTCTTTTCTTTTTTTCTTTGTCCCAGGACCTTGGGCTGGCACTCCAACACTAAGTTACAACCCCAGTCCTTTTTAATTTTAGTTTAGACGGGTTCTTGCAAAGGCCGGCCTTGAACTTGTGGTCCTCCTGTTTCAGCCTCCCCAGTAGCTGGGATAATTACATCAGCCCTTCTACTTTGGTTTTGTGATCTTGGGAAAGTTCATTAACCTTTGTGAATTTGGCTTCTCAACTGTAAAATGAACATAGTAGGTATTACATGAAAAGGCCCAACACAAAGTAGGGATTTGGTACATATGAGTTCAGTGTACAATAAATGTCTTTCTTAACGTTTGTTTGTTTTTGTGATCTCCAAAGGCATTCAAAACAGAACTCAGTTAAAACATCGTTCCTTCTGGTCTCAATGTTGTACATAAGTGTTCATAGAGGCAGTAAAATATCTGATGTAACAGGCCCAGTTGATAAGGTGGCCATTAGCCCTGACTCTTGTCTAAAGAAATTCCTCAGTGATTTGTACATTTGGTAGGCTTTAAACAAAGAAGTTGACAGGGCTGGGGAATTAGCTCAGTGGTTCTGCTGCCTACCTCACAAGCACAAGGACCTAAGTTCAATCCCTGGTACCAAAAAAAAATAAATAAATCCAATAAATGTTAAGCATTATTTAAATAATAATAATAATAATAAAAGAACCAAGATCTGTCATGTAAAGGTACAAGATCCCAATAATGAATGTAACTGTACTGTATACCTAAAATGTACCAATAAACTCAACAAGGAAAAAAAAAGAAGTTGACAAAAATTTTCCAAGCCATTTATAGGAACTAAGCTGTCAGCTTCTCTGCGTTCTAACTGGAAATAAGTTCTCTGCAGTTTTCACTTACCTCCTGCCCTGTCTCCACCGGGAGACATCACACCATATTTTTTGAAGTCTTCCTTCTAATTTCTCTAGAAGTTCTGTAAAAACAAAATGTCATTGACAATGACAATCACCTTGCATTTTATGCCATCCTTTCCCCCACATAACTGTGTAGTTAAAGGTTACTATATATGCCATTCATTGCTGTTAAAATTTTCTAATTTGGCAGGCTGATATGAAGTAAAAAACAAAAGTCCTTATTTCTTTCAGCCTTTTAATCTTTTAAGTTACTTGGTACGGAGTAGACACAACAACCTCGGCATTTGTACCTTTGGATGACTGATAAAAGTGAATTCTTACCATAGCTAGGCTTCGGGGAGCTTTGTGCAGGGAGGAGTTCAAAGCAGTTATCTAACCCTAAAATATCTAAAGCCACCAGACTCGAGTTTCTTTTTCCTATGTATACCACATTAAATGAAATCACCTCCTTCACAGGACATGTGAAATGGGTTTGTAATAAGTTTTTCTGAAGGGGTTAACTGAGGTGCTCTACGACCAAAATTAAGTACAAATCTATCTGGTTAACATTGTATGATTTACATCACTTTTGTAGGCAGTACGGCAGATCCTAAGCCAGCTGTATGTTTCATTCATTTTTTTGAATAAAACTTTGAAAGTTCTGGGGCAGTTTAGCCAATTTTCTGACTCTTCCTGGCCTTCCCTTTCCTGGTCTATATGGCTGGCTTTGTAATAATAATACTCACCTCTCAGTGCGGATGTGAGAGTTAGGGGAGATGACGGCTGGGGGCGGGGAGAGGAGGCAAAGGCTTTACTCAGCCAGCTTTGTCAGGGGTCCTGTCCTTCATGCTAGGTGAAAATATGCTTCTTCCCAGCTTGGCTATTTTTTTTTTTCTTCTCCACTTTAACTTCACTGAAAAGTTTTCTTAAATGATTACTTCTGTGCATAATTCTGTACTTGGTCCAAAAGCAACAGAGGAGGCCCCGTAAGCCCGACACCGGGTGGGTCAGTCATGATGGTCACCGCCCAGGTCCAACCCTTTCCTCCAGTAGCGCATAGAAAGACTTATGTCCCCTCTTCCCTCACGGATAGTTGTAGCCATGGGAGCAGATTTCTAACCCTGTGATGTGAGTACACATAGTGTGGACGACTGTCTCCCTATACGAGGGAATACACCTTTTTCTGTTTTCCTTTGCCCCTCCCAGCTGGCTAATACCAGGGAGAAGGTGAGGGCTGGCAACCTTCTTGGACCAGCCTGAAAAGCAAAGCCAAAGGGATTCTGGTCTCCCATACCCAGGCATTGAGCTAACAGTGTGCACTGCTCAATACTGAGTTTTGTTGTTTTTTTAAATTATAGGAGAAAAATAAACACTCTTCTAACTTGTTTCAAGTCACTATTGTTTGTTTACTTTTTCCATCATATACAAATGAGCCAATCCTCACTGATATGCTGGCCCTCTAGAAGTTATCCAGGAGCAAGAACAAATTTTAATTCTGGAAAATGTTTCCACGTTTCCTTTGAGCCTCTGTGTACTTTCTATTTATTAGCAACAAATTCCTCACTCTTCAAAAGCCTCTCGTGTGTCTCTCTAGCCTCTTTTGTACACTTTCCCCCTTTCCTCACCTATATATTACTATCCACTCACTTGAGCTCCTTAGCAAGGAGCATAGAAAGCAGGACCACTCTATTGGGGGAAGAAAGAAGGAAAGTTTGGCTAAAACTGAGTTTTCAGCTTTTTGTAGTTTATAGGAAAACAGAGTTATTTGAATTCAACAAGTGTTAAGCACATCTCATGTAAAAGGCAATATGTTAGGTGCTGAAATACAAAAATTTATATATTGTTTGACATTGTTCTGCTCCAAGGAGCTTATAATTGAATAGGAAAGATGAATCACACAAATAACTATAACACGGGGTAGGTATGGAATGCATTAAGAAACGTAGAAAGTGTCTATAACTTTCAGAGGAGAAAGTTTCACGAAGAAGACAGAATTTGAGAGAGTTAGTGGCTATTAGAGAGTTTGACGAAGAAGACAGGATTTAAGCTGAGCTTTGCAGAAAATGGGAGAAACAGGATCAGTAACAGAACATAGCACAAGACATAGGAGAGCCGGGTGGGGTGGCGCATGCCTGTAATCTCAGCATTTAGGAGGCTGAGGCAGGAGAATCGCTGTGAGTTTGAGACCAGCCTGAGCTACATAGTGAATTCCAGGTCAGTCTCAACTACATAGTGAGACTCTGTCTCAAAAAACAAACAAACAAACAAAAGGCATAGGAGGATCTAGGGACCCTAGAGAACCTGCTAATCTACACCTAAGGCAGACGGAAAGAGTAAAGAGCCACCAGAGCTGTCGAACAGGGAAGTAACAAGATCACATCTTGGGTGCGAAGATGGCCCTTGTGGCAGTGCAGAGAAAGGCCAGCTGCAAAGAGGCCGGTGAGTAGGGACCTTTAACAACCCCCCCAAAATATAAGATGACCTGAATTTGAAAAGTGACTACGTAGAGCTGGGTGTGATGGTGCTGCATTTGGGGTTAGGATCAGGAGGTCAGGGAGGGGGACAGAGGGAGGAGCGGGGAGGAGGAAGAAAGAGAAGAGGAAGAGGAAGAAGAAGAAAGGAAAAGAGGTCACAGAAGCCACATTTCAAAAGTTACTGCATTACTGTGTGAGCTATATGTATGCTTTGCCTAAGAAATAACATTGATTGTAGCTCAGATTCAGAAATGGAAAATATCTCCATACAAGAATATTTTAAAATAAGCTTTATTTGAACTGGGACATTTAACCTAAAGGGCTGAATAAGACCGAACAGACCGTACTAATGAGTGCGTTCTGGCTACGGTCTTCATCGAGCCTTAGTTATTCTCCTCCTAGGTCCACTGGAGATGCGCGGACCGACTGCACTGGCAGAGAGAGTATGAATGAGACACAGCAAAACTTTATTGCAGTGGGAGCTACTTCAGGAGAGGCGTGGGGGCAGCACTGCTAGGAAAAAAATCAGGCTGCACCGTTAACAAAAAGCAGGATCAGTGTTTTTGTTTGTTTCCTTTTGTTTTGTTTTCCCTGCGCAGGGTAAAATAGAGAGGCTAACGTCTGGGGATTCTGTGTGGTCCTGGGCATAGTCTCCAAGGGTGTTTTCTTCTTTGGTGCAAAGCTTATCCCAGGAACAACGGATCTCTCTCTAGGGCACACACACTCCTTCGGTACAAACACTCTGCCTGTGTGACACGGATGGGAACAGGCAGGCGAGGCGTGTGGAAGAAGACGGGCGTGTAAGAGGAACGAGTTAAAGGCCCGGGTTTGTCTGCCCTCTGTCCCTCAGGGGTGAACCCCAGCAGTTTCCGTCTCGAGATGCTGTGCTGAAGCTGCCCTGGCTTTCATGACACCGGGATTTCGAGGTTGATAAGACTGTTAGGGAAAGTAAGGGGCAGGGAAGAACACATGCCGTGCTGTAACGGGTCACAGAGCCTAGTTGGCGCCCCAGGGGTACGCCTACCTTTTGTCCCCTCCTGGTTTCTCTCTTATTAGAAACAGTGAAAAAGCACTGAAAAGAATCTCAACACTGCCAACTGCCCCCCAACCAGAAAGAATTTTTTCCTTTATCCTTTGCCTAGTTGTCATGGTAAATAGCAGGTAGCAGGGCACCTCAGGGAAAAGGTTTTTCCCCTGCTCACAACTTATTTCTTTACTCCTCTGTATGTTCCATCTCTCACCACGGACACACAGCGTAAGAAATCCTGTGAAAATTTAAGAGGAGGAAGCTTTTTTAGAGAGCATAAGAATCTTCTAATATTCACCTCTTCATCGTGAACTAAAATCATGCCAGCACTGCCTGAGGAAAAGGAGAAAGGGCTGACACAGACCCATATGGACAGCGCATCCTCAGATCGCTTTGAGATAAGTAGGTCCCCAAGACAAATCCAACTACTCCTTTGTTCTCAGGGAATAAATTCTAAAGCTTTTCTGAAATGGGTAAATTTGAGCATCTGATCAGCTGCTGCTTTCTCTTTTTATTTTTCTGATTGCCTTAAGAAAACCTAAATAGGTCTTAATACCTGCGAACATCTTATTAATAAGGGAGGAACAAAATGAAAACTAAATTATAAGCCTACCATACATTAGCCTACCAATTAGATGAGCATCCTGTGTAATATTTAGCAATTTATAATTTGTTTAGTTTATTTTATTTGGGTCAGGGAAAGTGGCTTATAGATAAAATAATGAGGATTCTTTCTCTTCTATGACAACAAAGGTGGCACTCTCAAGAGGCACAAGTAATTAATCAAGTCCTTGGGGACCAACAGCACTAATGTGACAAATATTGGTTAAATTGTGCTTCACTTTGATGCAAATGGGGGGGGGATAAATAAGCATTTCAAACCCATCCCTGAGGCAAGATTAACAAGAATTACTAACTTAAAAATCCTTACATTTTCTAAAAATCTAGAAAACTGTGAAGACTGTTGAACACCTTATATACTAGCCCTAAAATCCAAATCAAATGATCTTTACTTGGGGGTCCATGCATTGGTTTTCAGGCCACATGTACATTTCCTGAAATTGTTTGCAAAATTTTGTGTGATTTTCCTTTTTTCTTTCCTTCAGAAAGGGTGGACTGGTTTCAGAAGAAAGCTATCCTTGACCCCTCTAAAAAGTTAAGAACTGCTGTCAGTAAAGAGAAATAAAGAAAAAGGAAGAGGGATGGGGAGGGGACTCGACAGTTTAGAGGAGCATTCACTACTGGCTTGCTAGATCGAGGCACGCTGTTGTATACACAGAAAAGGAAAGGAAGGAGTCAGATTAAAGAGAATATGGAATCTCATAAATTCTGTTTCAAATAAAATAGCCAAATGCATGTAATATTTGTGCACGGCACTTCTCTTTTCACTTTTAGCTTCAAAACACATCATTTATATTTATATCAAAAGTTAACAATATTATGATCTTCCTTTCAAAAGCCTCTGAGTTTTCAAATGGTTTAACTTGCCTCTTCAGGCTCATGGTATCAACAACAATGTAGACATTCACTAAATTTGTGGACATATTTTAGAATAAATGTATCAAAAATCTTCTTTTCTCTAGTATAAATTTCTGATCCTTAGGGTCAGGGATTTAGCTCAGTGGTTCTGCCGCCTGCCTTGCTAGCGTAAGGACCTGAATTCAATCCCTGGTACCAAAAACTAAAAAAAATTTCTGATCCTTTATGGTGAATTGTTCAAAAGTAGCCTTCAATGAAACAGTTATATTATCTGCAGCAGAGATTTTGAAGGAAGTGATTTAAAAAGACAAAAGGGTAATACAATGACAAATTTCTATATATTCAGAATATACTATTATTTTAGGATGTAAAAAGTCATAATTCCAATACAAATTGTAACAAAATCCTCCTCTCTTAAGAATGAAAAGTTTTTGCATAAAACCCAACTCTGCCTGTCATGACCCCAAACCTCATGAAGTATTCAGAATCAGCTTTCACAAAGACATGTCTTCGCATAAATAATCAACACTTTTTCTGTGCATGAAAAAGCTACGGAATCCTCTACCCTTTTTCTTGGTTACAAGGCATCAATCAATTTCCCACCATCCCTGATCTTTTACATTCTTTAATTATTCATAATCCCAAAGAGGCACATACATGTTGGATTTAGGCTGCCTCATAAACCAAGAACTCTATCATCTTTTCTTTAAGAATGCTCTGGAAATTTAACTCAGTTGTAACTAAATATGCAATAATGCAGAGCAACTTCAAATATTCCCCAAGTATTTTATCAGCTGGCAACCTGCAAAGGTAGATTAAGACATAACGTAAAAATTAAGCAAAGAAATGAATGAGCGTTTTACACATTGCTATAACTTTTGAATGAACAGTTAGTTATGTATCTGAATGACTATCTTAAATAAATGCTAGCATATTTTGAATTTACATTAACATAATTTATGGTAAGGGTGGATGAATTTTCTTCTCTTACAAAAATATTTTCCCTTCAGTGTCTCATAAAGCATATGAAAGAACACTCACCCCATGTTGCTTGCTGTGGTTATATCATCCTCAGATCAAGGCTTATCTGAATCCAGATTAATTTAGAGGTTATAAAAAGAAGCAGCAAAGAGGCTTGACTTCCCCCGATCGAGATGTCAGATGCTAACAGGCTTTTAAATGAGGGAAACTAGTGTCTCCTCTAATTATATAAGCTGCAGGTCAAACTCTAGCATCAACTAATCAAATAACTGAGCTGTGTCTAGTTTCAAGGAGTAAAAAGGAAGAAAACTTTAACAAGAATGATTCTGGTATCTTAGAAAAATAAAAACATATTGAAAAGAAAGTAATATACCAAAAAAGTTAAAGATTTTAAGAGCAAAGCACA